AAAAAGAAATAAAAAAAGAACAAAAAGATTAAAAAGCAATGCAATCAAACCAAAATGAAAACAGAAAAAATAATACAGTAATGTAAATAGCATCCACCTATCTATCCGTCTGTCTGTCTCTCTGATAGATAGATAGATAGATAGATAGATAGGTAGGTAGGTAGGTAGGTAGATAGATAGATAGATAGATAGATAGATAGATAGATAGATAGATAGATAGATAGATAGATAGATAGATAGATAGATAGATCGATCGATTGATAGAGATAGATAGATGATAGAGATAGATGATAAATAAATAATAGATAGATAATAAATAGATATAGATAAATGATAGATAGATAGATAGATAGATAGATAGATAGATGATAGATAGATAGATAGATAGACAGACCTGTGTTCCTCCCAGCCCCTTTCCCCTCCCCCCTCCCCCCCCACGAATCTGCACCATGTTTTCCACCGTCCGCAGGTACTTGGCGCACTGCAAGTGGCCGTTGTAATCGGCAAGATCCGTGGCTGTGTAGCCGTCCTGGTCGCGCTGGCTAAGGTCGACGCCGTTCACCACGAGGATCTGACAGCACTGTGTGTGGGGGAGAAGAAGACAAGGGTGAGCACAGGGGCGGCTGGGGGTTGGACTAGATGACCTACATGGTCCTATTCAATCCTTCTAGCCTCCTAAATTTCAATTTGGATCCCTCCGCCGGGCAGGGGGCTGGACTAGACGGCCTCTGGGGATCCCTCCCGACCTATCTTTATTTCCCCCACACCCGAGCCCAGGTAGAGAAAAGAGCGACTCACTAGGGCCCTGAGCTAAACCAAACCCAGCCCCGCTGCGGCCTCCCATTCTCCCTCGGAGGGAAAGTGCACCAAGAGGCAACCCTTTCCCCGACCGATTCTCTCACCTCCAGCTCCCCGTTCTCTGCGGCGTCGTGCAGGGGGGTGCCTCCCCACTTGTCCACCACAATCTCCCCTCCGTGTAAGAGCAGCCAACTCAGGACTTTGGCATGGCCCCGGCTGGCCGCAAAATGCATTGGCGTGGCCCCGTCTTCGTCTTGCTCCGACAGGTTGATGTCGGTGAAACTCATCTAAGCCCCGAGCAGGAAAAAAAAATCAATAATCAGTGCCATTATAACGGTCACTAAATGAGCCGAGGACCACCTCTATGTGTATGTGAATTCTACGTAGCCAGGCCCCGCCGACGTCCCCATCCTCACCAGCCACACAATGACGGTGTTGTGGCCCATCTGAGCCGCGGCGTGGAGGGGCGTCATCCCGTCGTTGGCGCGTAGGTGAGGGTCGGCCCCGCCGTCCTTGACCAGGTACTGGACAATCTCCAAGTGACCCTCTTGGCAGGCTAAATAAAGGGGGGTGGCACCGTTCTTGGTTTGGGCGTTGACCGAACTGGAAGAAAAAATTAAAAACAAAACAAAACACAGATTTTTCAAAGATCAAACCGTCAAGTTCGCTCTTTTTAAAAGCGATCAAATTCCAGCTCTTTTCTGATTGATAACTGATCACTGATCAATGGACTACCTGTAGATAATCTTAATTCCAGTACTTTTATGGAGAGAGAGGCTGGCAAATGGAAATATCCCAAAGAACAATTCTAACCAAATGTAGCTTGAATTTAGCAGACAATTTCCCTGCCTTAAATCTTGCTGGAAAGTTTATTTTTTAAACCCAGAAAATCCACATTGGCATGGGCGCGCGGATGCCCTCTTGCAGATGTCGATTCTCTTGTTCAGAAACGCCCAATTAAAAACCTGTTTAATATTTCAAAAAGGCAACGTAAGAAAAACTCAGCTGGGTTGTTTAATAATTGATTGACATGTCTTGGAGATGCCGGGTGGTTTTTTTTTTGCAACCCTATTCTCTTTCCATCCACTCCTGAATGTGAGTTTTTTTTTTTCTTCTCTGCAAACAAACTCACAAACCCTGGACCGACAATTGTGTTGTGTCTTAAGCAGTGCAAACTCTCCCGAGACACTGCGAATGTCATAAATACGAACTCATTCAACGTGGTTTTTTTAAAAAAAACATTTAATTCTGGAGCAATCCGAACCGTGAGAACGTGCCATTTTGCGAATCGGCTCGTTTAATTGCCCTATAGGGACTGCTATCCTGCAGAGTGCCACTAGGGGGGCGACAAAGCACATGGGAAAATGTCAAGACCTGTTTCCCCCTAGTGGCGATCAGGAGGATAGCAACCCAGATACAGACCCCAGAAAGCTTACCGGCAGCCTGGCACCAATTATTATTGTTAATAATTATTAATTAAATTTACCTGCTGCCCACCTTGTTCTGAAGCGACTCTTGGTGGCTTACATTTAGACCTCAACTTACTACTCATTTAGTGAGCATTCGTATTTACAACGGCACTTTAAAAAGCAACTTAGGACCGTTTTTCACCCTTATGACCGTCACAGCATCCCCCGTGGTCACGTGATCAAAATTCAGACGCTTGGCAACTGACTTGTATTTATGACGGTCGCAGCGTTCTGTGCCTGCGTGAAAGGTCATAAAATGGGGCAAAACTGACTTAGTAGCTGTCCCGCTTAGAAAATGAAAAGTTTGGGCATAATGGTGGACGTAACTCGAGGAATACAAAGCTTCTTCAAGGTGATTCGGCCCTTCGCTGTCCAGGCCAAAGGGGTGGGCGTTCCAGCTTTGGGGGAGAGAACCCCCCCACCCCAGGAAGCTGCAAAGGCACTGATAAGGCCTATCTGTGCCGCAGGGACAGACAGCCGGGCATAGCGTAGAGAGGCGGGCGTGGTCATAAATCAGACCGCTCAAGGCAGCTTCTATTGTGCCAGGCTGCAGATTAGCTACAGGGAAGGCACAAAAAAAGGCAGCGATAAAAAAACAGGCAGGGACAATGGAACACCTGGTGGTCTATCTTCCCCCGCCTCCACCTCCCTGACTGGTCCTGCCTGGCCGAATTTTGTGAGTTTTAGCCCCAAAACAAAAGGTTAAGTGAAGGATGTAGCCACCAGGCCAGGGGTTGTGGTCCAGAATGCTGAGAGTGGGAAGGGGGGGTCTCGGAGGTCATCTAGTCCAACCCCAAACCCAGGGCACGCTAAAGAGCAGGATGATGTGAGGCTAGGAAGGGATCGTGAAGGTCATCCAGCCTAGCCCCCTGCTTTATATAGAGAACCAAATTAAAGCCCTGTTATTCTATTCTATTCTATTCTATTCTATTCTATTCTATTCTTTCCATATTCTATTCTTTCCATATTCTATTCTTCATTCCATTATTCTATTCTTCATTCCACTATATTCTATTCTATTCTATTCTATTCTATTCTATTCTATTCTATTCTATTCTATTCTATTCTATTCTATTCTATTCTATTCTATTCTATTCTAAAGGAGAGAATTGAAAGACCTTTAAATTAATAGAATAAACCAATAAGCGAAGGCTGAGTTAGCTAAACCCTCCTTGTATAAACCATCATCCATGTTTCTTGGCAACCTCGGGGGATCCGGTTGCAACAACCGGTAACGGAGACTGAGATCAAGTTGTCACAGAGGGGGGGGCGTGTACGATGAAAGATCGTTCCTGCCTGGCTGTAAATAATTCATGTTGTTTCTTAACTAAGACAAGCAAACATTGGAAGGACGGAGTCTTGCTGGTTTATGGTCACGGAAAGCAAAATCAGCAATTCAGACATTCAAACTCCCAGCCTGATTTATTCAAGGCTTGAAGCCTCTGCATAAATGGGGTTGTCGGATGGGGGTGCTGAGACTCTGGAAAGGGTGCAGAGAAGAGCAACAAAGAGGATTAAGGGGTTCTGGAGCATAAAATACATGAAGAACGGTTGCAGGAATTGGGGATGTCCAGTTTAACGAAAAGAAGGACGAAGGGGAACATGATAGCAGTACAGGGGGTCCTCAAATTACCAGCACAGTTGAGCCCCAAGTTTGTGTCTGCTGTTAAGCGAGACACTTGTTAAAAGGCATTCTGCCCCATTTTACGGCCTTTCGTAAACGGTCGCTAAGTCAAGGGCTACCTATTTATTTATTTATTTATTTATTTATTTGTGAAATAGTATTTCTTTGAGGTACGAACACGGGATAAGCAAACCGACGTAACCTTGATCTCTCTCCCAAACCAGCCAATATCAAAACCGAGATAGTTTTAAACGGGGAGAGAATGGCGTGCAAATAACTCCGCTAATCCTATCAAGGTCTTACAAATTCCTGCTGGACTTTAAATGGTGGTGGACGTAATCCTCAGAACTCTCAGAGAGAGAGAGAGGGGGGGCGATATTTCGATAAAAAGAGGAGAAACTTTCTTTGCTGTGGGCAGGGGGTTGGACTAGATGACCTTAAAGATCCCTTTCAACTATTCTATTCTATTCTATTCTATTCTATTCTATTCTATTCTATTAATAATAATAATAATAATAATAATAATAATAATAATAATAATAATAATTATTATTATTATTATTATTATTATTATTATTATTATTATTATTATTAACTCTATTCATTGTGACTTATGACCATGGAGGTCATCTAGTCCAACCCCCTGCTCCGGCAGGAAACCCTAGACCATTTCAGACAAATGGCTGCCAGTCTCTTCTTGAAAATCGTCTTAAAAATAATTTTGCAAATTGAGGCCTCGCTTAAATAGTACATGTCCGTTTGGGGGCTAACTGGACTTTCCACGTTGTAAAGGCTTGAGAGACCCCCCCCCCTTCTAAGCCGGTTTCTGGCTGGCAGTAATAACATATCTGGCAGGTTTTTAATTACCCCTCCAAGCCGTTCCGAAGGCTATTTGTGGTTGAGCCACACTCACTCGGTGTGGAAAATGAGATTAAAAACACTCTAATCTCCCACGTACTGTACTGTACGGTTCCAAAGCATCCCGCTGACCTATTTTGACAGCCGGGGTGATTTCATATTAGCTCCTTTGGCTGGAGTTTAATTCTAAGTAAGGCACTTCAGCAGAGGCTGGATAAGCTATGGTGGCGTTCTTTTTTCCCTGGGCAGGGGGTTGGGCTAGGTGACCTCTAAGGTCCCTTCCGGTACTTGCATTCCGCTTTGAGTTGGGTGGCTGAACAGAGGGTTTTGGATTTTCAAAGGTGTGGCAAAGGGTTGTAAAGGGATTCCTCCTCTTTTCATTCACATATGTAAAATTGAAGGCAGATGGGCAGGCAAGAGGAAGGGAGGGAGGGAGAGGAAGAAAGAAAGAAAGAGAAAAAAAAGAAAGAAAGAAAGAAGAAAGAGAAAGAAAGAAAGAACGAAGAGAAGAAGGAATGAAGGAAAGGAGAGAGAGGAAAGAAGGATGGATAAGAAAGAGAATGAATGAAGGAAGGAAGGAAGGAAGGAGAGAGAGGAAAGTAGGATAGATGACAATCAAAGAGAAGGAAGGAAGGAAGGAAGGAAGGAAGGAAGGAAGGAAGGAAGGAAGGAAGGAAGGAAGGAAGGAAGGAAGGAGAGAGAGAGAGGAAAGTAGGATAGATGACAATCAAAGAGAAGGAAGGAAGGAAGGAAGGAGAGAAAAATGAATGAAGAAAAGTAGGATAAATGACAAAGAAGGAAGGAAGGAAGGAAGGAAGGAGAGAGAGGAATGAAGGAAAGTAGGATAGATGACAATCAAAGAGAAGGAAGGAAGGAAGGAAGGAAGGAGAGAAAAATGAATGAAGAAAAGTAGGATAAATGACAAAGAGAAGGAAAAAAGGAAGGAAGGAAGGAGAGAGAGGAATGAAGGAAAGTAGGATAGATGACAAACAGAAGGAAGGAAGGAAGGAAGGAAGGAAAGAAGGAAGGAAGGAAGGAAGGAGGTGTTATCAACCTGCCTCTCTCAAGCCACCCACATGGCTGTTTATGGGCCAGCTTGCACATCCTTCAACATGGCTAAAGGGCCAATGAACACACAGCCACCCTATCAGGAAAACAGACACTCACATTTGTCGCTCTCCTCCCACAAGGAGAAAAGGCATCAATCTCCACCCACTCCCCCCCCCTGGCCTCCCCCCTCCCCAACTGCCCTCCCCTCCTTCCTTCCCTGCCCACCCAAATTTTGGCTGCTCTCCTCCTCCAAAGAGCCTTCCAGCCCCGCCTGGCAGCACAATCCCTTTATACAACCTCGGGGGAGACAAAGGCCGCTGTGTTATCAGCTTTTTGCAAAGCCACATGGGCTAAATTTCCATCGGGACTCCAAAGCCCCCCCCCCACCCAGCCCCTGCCATAAAGCTGTCACAGAAGCAGAAAAGAAGCTGGACAAATGGGAGCCAATTCTAGCAACGGACAAACCAGGATGCTGGCAAAACCATCTTTGTTGCTCTTCTCGGCAACTTTTCTAGAGTCGCAACATCTTTTTTGACATCGTGGTGACCAAAACTGGATGCAGCATTCCAAGTGTGGCCTTACCAAGGCCTTGTAAAGTGGTATTAACACTTCACGTGATCTTGATTCTCTCCCTCTGTTCATGCAGCCTGGAATTGTGTTGGCCTTTTTGGCAGCTGCAGCACACGGCCGGCTCCTATTTAAGGGATTGTCCATCAGGACTCCAAGATCCATCTCACTATTGAGCCAGGTACCACCTATCCCATACCTGTGCACTTGGTTTTTCCTGCCTAAGGGTAAAAAACTTACTTTTCTCTCCAGTGATTTGACAGATCTGAACAAGCCCATCGGTGTTAGGAAACCCACTGGTGCCGAGGCAAAAACCACCATTGATAGGAGATGAATAAAACCAAATAAAAATAAATACAGATAGTCTCCCCTTACAACAGTTGCTTTAGTGACCGTTCAAAGTTACAAGGGCCCTGCAAAAAAAAGGGACTTAGGGCTGTTTTTCACACTTAACGACCGTCGCAGCATCACGTGACCAAAATTCAGACGCTTGGCAACTGACTCGTACTTACGACGGTCGCAGTGTCCTGGGATCCCCTTTTGCGACTTTCCGACAAGCAAAATCCGTGGGGAAGCCAGATTCACTTAACAACCACGTGACTCGCTTAATAACGGCAGCAATTCACTTAACAACCGTCGCAAGAAAGGTCGCAAAATGGTGCCAAGCTCACTTAATGACGGAAACATTGGGCTCCACAGCAGTTGTATGCCAAGGACTGTCTTTCATGGTTTGCTTGCTTATTAACTGATGTGCTGTGCTTGTAAGTTGAGGTCTACCTGTAATGATTTAGCGAGGTCGTCCCTTACCCGGGAGAGTGTCCGAGGATCAGGTGCAGCGAAGGGAAATCTCCTTTTGTGGCAGCGTAGTGGACGGGCAAGGCGCCCGTCTCGGTGGGCACCAGGGGGTCGCAGCCCCCGAAACGCAGGAGCCACTCGATGACCTCGTGGTGGCCGAAACGGGCGGCCAGGTGCAAGACGGTGGCGCCCGAATTATCCGTGTCCTGTGAAAACACAAATCCCAACCATCAAAAATACCGACACTTCAAAGGAGGCTGTCTGGCAAAGCGGGCACCAGGGAGGGCATCCAAAAGAGCCACGGAAGGATATTTCGGCCGGTAGACCCAATAGGGGTAGTCCTCAATTTACAACAGTTCATTGGTGACGGTTCAGAGTTACAGCACCACTGAAGAAAGGGACGTAGGGCAGTTTTTTCACACTTGGGGTCCCCAGTAGTCTCACGAGTGTGCCCGTGCCACGCTCCCCCCCCCCGCGATCTTGCCTCTTCGCCTCACTGCCTGCCCTCTGCACGACCTCAGAGGCTCACCTGACCGGGGCCCAGCAGCTCCCGCAGGCACCGCAGGTGGCCAGAGGGGGAACCGAGAAACAGACACCCCACTTCCCCTCTTGGGGTCCCCAACAGCCTGAAGCGCCCGCGCCGCCTTCTCCCCGGCGATCCTGCCTCCCCGCCCGCCCTCTGCCCATGCTCAGAGGCTCACCTGGACGCGGCAGCCGCCGGGGCCGAGCAGCCACTGCAGGCAGGCCAGGTGGCCCGTGGCGGCGGCGTCGTGGGCCGGGGTGGCCCCGTTGCGCGCCCGCCCCTGCGCGCCCAGCGCGGCATCCTCCGCCAGGTAGCGCAAGCAGCGCAGCTTCCCGGCGCGGGCGGCGTGGTGCACCGGCGAGGCGCCCAGCGGGTCCCGGAGGGCGGCGGGGGGCAGCAGCGGGACCCCCCGGTCGGCGGGCGGAGGCAGCAGCGCCCTCAGCGCCTCCAGGTCGCCCTGGCGAGCCGCTAGCAGGGCGCGCTCCCCGGCCATAGCGCTCGCCTGGCGCCCGGCCGGCTCTGCCGGAGCCTCGGGCGGAGGGAGGGGAGGGGGGCTCCGGCCCCGCCCCCTGGAGGGAGGCCACGCCCCTCCTTGGCCGCGGGAGGGGGTTCTCCCCCCCCTCGCCCCCCTCCTTTGCGCCTTCTCCGACTTGCGCAACCTCCGGGAGCTGTCCTTCAGCATCCGGATGGCCCAACCTCTGAGCGTGCACAGAGTGCTTAATTTAATTTAATTTAATTTTTAATCTTTATATTATTTTATATTTTATACAGTTTTATATTTTATATTTCCCATTATTTTATCTTATTGATAATTTATCCATTTTATCTAATATAAACACAGGCTGTTCCTCGAGGGCTTAAAAGCTGCTCGTATCCCGTCGTCCCTGCTTCTGGCTGGGCAATTCTGGGACCCTCCCCCGAGTTGCCAAGTTTGGGAAAGCCCGCCATTGGAGCGAGGTCTCCCCAAATTGCTACAAGATCCAGACTGAAATTTCTGCAGAAGATCCGGTAAGTAAGGGGATCTATTAGGGAAGCTTCAATACTCCGTGTTGGCCACAAGGTGGCGCTAAAGACCACCCATTAAAAGCACAGCCACGCTCACCACGCCGTTATTTTGCAATTCAAAAACTTTTGAGAGACACGCCCCCCCCTCCTTCCAAATTGGGTGGGTGGGAGCTGTTAAGAAGCCGGGGAGGGGGTGTGCAAAAATCAGGTCGGGCCTAGGAAATAAACCCAAAGAACAGTTAAATATCTGCACCCACTCTCTTAAGACACTCAAGTTACAGGCTGCAGCCAGCTGCACCAAGGCAGTTCCCAACCACAGTTCATAGACTCATTAAAGTGGAAGGGACCTTGGAGGTCTTCTAGTCCAACCCCCTGCTCAAGCAGGAGACCTGCAATCATTCTGGAGTGTCCAGTCTCTTCTTAAAAACCTCCACCCACAACTTCTGGAGGCAACCGGTTAATTTTTCTTACTGTCTGGAAATTTCTCCATAGTTCTAGGTTGCACCTCTCCTTGATAAATTTCCACCTGTTATTTTTTAACCTGCCCTCGGGTGCTTTGGAGAATAGGTGGACCCCCCTCTTTTCTGTGGCAGCCCCTCAAATATTGGGAGATGCTATCATGTCACCCCTAGTCCTTGTCTAGACATACCCAATTCCTGTAACCGTTCTTCGTACGGTTTGGCCTCCAGACCCCTGACTCCCTTTGTTTTTTTGTTTTTATTGAAAATTTTATAAAATTTTACAATATAAATCCCCCCTCCCCCAAACCCAACCCTCCATCCCTCCCCCCCTTACTTCTTAGAGCCAATCACAGGGTTAACAATAAAATAATCATAATCTAACTAACTTTAATCAACTAATAATCTAACAAATCTATAACTTCCTTTAACTCTCTTTTAAAACAAATATACAATTATTAAATACCATAATAATAACATAATTTTGAGTGTTAAAACTAAAACTAAATAACATTATAACTTTTAAACAAAAATAATACTCTAAAATTCATTCAAAAACCAAATGATATTTTTTTGTTCCATATTTAAACTCAATATAATCAATCCATCTTCTCCAAACCAATATATATCTTTCTTGTGAGTAATCCTTCACATAAGCGGAAATCTTGGCCATTTCTGCTAAGTTTGAGACTTTAAATCCCTTTGTTGATAGAGGCTGGCAGTCATCTGCGTTTTTCCTTAAGCCCCCCCCCCCCGGGGCAGCTGTGCCCACCCCTCTGCCCACCGTCCCTTAGTGCAAACGGCCGGCCGTTAGAGGAACAGAAGGCCTTGCTGTAGCACGTGCCACTGAGGAGTCTCTCTTGAGCTTGGCCGTTCAAGGGGTCTCTACAGCACAAAAGACCCTCCCTCAACTATTCCAATCCCAGGGGAGATTCTCAACGTCCAGACCACACGGACAGCTCAATTATGGGAGGGGGAAGCTCAGCTTTGCTTTCTTGGTCTTGCAACACCCGTGGTGGAACAGCATTTGAACCCAGAACTGGCCCCAGCCAGACGTGCAGCTGATTATCAGTCCTTCCCCGCCCCCCTCTAGTCTTCTGTGCTTTCCCTGTGGTCTCCTATCCCAGGCCGATTCCTGTTGCCTTTATTTATGCAGTATTTCTTAAATGTACATGCAGCCTGTCTCTATCCAAAGCGAGTCTGCTTTGGAGAAATTGTGCTTTTCGTCCAGCTGGGTGGGCCGTTGTGGCATCCGCCACGTCTTGTCAACAACATACACAACAGAGTTGTTTTAGGGGGGAGAAGGAGGAAGGGAAGGGGGAGAAAAGGGGCGCGCTTGGGGGCGTCCGCCCCGCCCCGCCGCGTGGCGCCTTTCCCGGCCGCTCTCCAGGGTGCTGAAGAGGCGCGGCAGAGACAGCTGGAGGGCCGCCCTAAGCCGCTGGGGGGGGGGAAGCCTGGCTGGTGGGGGGGCGGAGGGGGGCGGGTTACATTAATGGCCCCTCCGAGACCCAAAGCAGCATCGCAGGCCAAGATGTTGGGGGGGGGGCGACACGTGGAGTGGTTACTCTGCTGATGCGCCTAGGAGCCAGATCTATATATAATTATCTATATCTATCATCTCTCTGGAAGAGATCTTTGAGGTCTTGTAGTCCACCCTCCTGCTCAAATCAGGTAATCTTGTTTGTTTGGAACTATTGTAGCGAAGATAAAAGATCACCTTTTTCTCCTTTCCTTTCCTTTCCTTTCCTTCTTCTATCTTCCTTTCTTTTCTTTTCCTTTCCTTTCCTTTCCTTTCCTTTTTGTATCTTCCTTTCCTCTCCTCTCCTCTCCTCTCCTTTCCTTTCCTTTCCTTTCCTTTCCTTCTTCTATCTTCCTTTCTTTTCTTTTCCTTTCCTTTCCTTTCCTTTCCTTTCCTTTTTGTATCTTCCTTTCCTTTCCTCTCCTCTCCTCTCCTCTCCTCTCCTCTCCTTTCCTTTCCTTTCCTTTCCTTCTTCTATCTTCCTTTCCTTTCCTTTCCTCTCCTCTCCTCTCCTCTCCTCTCCTTTCCTTTCCTTTCCTTTCCTTTCCTTTCCTTCTTCTATCTTCCTTTCTTTTCTTTTCCTTTCCTTTCCTTTCCTTTCCTTTCCTTCTTCTATCTTCCTTTCCTTTCCTTTCCTTTCCTTTCCTTTCCTNTCCTCTCCTCTCCTTTCCTTTCCTTTCCTTTCCTTTCCTTTCCTTTCCTTCTTCTATCTTCCTTTCTTTTCCTTTCCTTTCCTCTCCTCTCCTCTCCGTTTCCTCTCCTCTCTTTTCTTTTTTCTTCTGCCTTTCTTTTTCTTCGCATTTTCTTTTCTTTCCTCTCACTCCCTTTCATTTCAGGTTTCTCTTCCAGAAGCCCCCATCTGGCCCGGGACTCCGCTGGCAGCCAAGCGGCGGCCACCACTCGCAAAGTGGCCGCGAGTTCCGCGGGCCAGGCGGCGCTGGCTCTGAAGGGGCGGGGCGGGGCGGGCCCGGCAGTCCATGTGGGCGTGGCCGGGAGGGTATAAAAGGCCCCCGCCGGGCGGGGCAGAGCCAGGTTCTCGCTCCTGCCGCCGGGCCGTTGCGCGTCGCAGGCGGGATGAGTCCGGGGAGGAAAACCGTGGAGGCTTCCGAGCTGCGGAAGGTGAGTCCGAGCGGGGGAGGCCCAACCGAGCCCTTTCCCCTTCCCCTTCCCCGGCCCGGCCGTCGGACTGACCCCCCCCCGTCTCCCCTCTGTCCCCCCCTCGCAGAGCCTGAAGCCGCTGATGGAGAAGCGCCGCCGGGCGCGCATCAACTGCAGCCTCGGCCAGCTCAAGACGCTCATCCTGCCCCTGGTGGGCAAAGACGTGAGTGGCGGCGCCCCCTCCCCACGCCGGGACCCCCAGGAGCCCCCTCCGCCTCCCCCCGGCCGGCGGGGAAGGATTGAGGGCCCAGGGCCATCCGGGCGGGCAGAGTGCGCGACTCTACTAAGAGGACCAACCAAGGGTTGAATTGAGGCGTCCTTGAGGGTCCCTGGGGTTGGTGGGGGGCTTTTTTTTTGGCAGACGTTTCATGACCCAGCTAGGTAACATCATCAGTGCTAGAACGGGGGGAGGTTGCAGAAAGGTGGAGGAGGAGGAGGAAGAAGAAGAGTCCTGGTGCTCTCTGAGCTCGGTGGCTTCCTTGCAGACGTTTCATGACCCAATTAGGGAACATCATCAGTGCTGGAAGGGAGCTGTATATAAATAGCCCTTCTAGCACTGATGATGTTGCCTAGTTGGGTCATGAAACGCCTGCAAGGAAACCACCCAGCTCAGAGATCACCCAGGACCCCACAGTCCTCCTCCTCCTCCTCCTCCTCTCCCCTGAAAACCTCACTCCCTTCTAGTATTGATGATGTGACCTAGTTATTAGTTATTGAAATGTCTGCAAGAAAAATTCTAAGCTCAGAGACCACCAAGGTCCCCTCTGCTAAAATTAGATGGCACTTAAGCTTAGTAGATTATTAGATTTGAGCCCAAATAAGGCTTTTTATACATTTCAAGTTTTATGTTTTTAATGTCTGCACTTATACTTACGCATCAGAATGTGGGGTTTTCTTTGCATCCATGTGCAGACCCCCTACACGCGTGTACTATAAAGTATAACGATTTGACAGGGATGCTCGGAAGCAATCATTCCATATTTAGGGGTTGAGTGCTCCGGAGCATGGAGGCTCTACAGATTTGCTGTGGATTGCTGGGATTTTTTGTGTCACACGAAGGTGTGTCCCTGAACTTTCTATTCTGCGTATGGGCTACTTTGCCTGCAACGTACTTGCGGGGTGTGTCGTTGCGCATTGTTTTTGTTTCTCAACAATTTTTCCTCCCTTCCATTCCAGAGTTCCTGCTATTCCAAACTGGAAAAAGCGGATATTTTGGAGATGACCGTTCAGTTTCTCAAGGACCTTCCAACGTCTTGTGGCACGCTTCCCGGTGAGTGTGACAAGGCTTGTGTGTGCAGACATTTGTCAAGTGAGCTTTGCCCCATTTTACAACCTTCTCCGGGACGCTGCAACCGTCATAAGTACGAGTCAGTTGCCAAGCGTCTGGATTTGGATCACATGACCATCAGGGAATATGGCCATGAATCAGTGCCGTTGTGACTTTGAACGGTCACTAAACAAAATGTTGTGAGTCAAGCACTTCACCAGGGCAGTGATTCATTTAACAACAGCCCTAAATCCCCTTTTTTCCCAGTGCTGTTGTGACTTCGGTCACTAAATGAACTGTTAAGTTGAGGACTAGCCGCATGGGGGATTCAGGGAATAAATTTGACTTTCTTTTTCCCGCAGGCTCGGTGGACGGCTATGGCGAAGGCTACCACGCCTGCCTGTCCCACTTTGCGACGCTGATCCCCAAGTACGACCTGCTGAGCCCAGAGGCGTGCCACCAACTCTTGGCCCGGCTCCAAGAGCAGAACTTCAAGGATTACCCTTGGCATCGCAACTGCACACACTCGGCAAAAGACTTGGCCGCCACGCAGCAGGCGGAGACACCCCTGTGCCCTGCCAGGCGGGACCCAGGAAGCTTCTGGGGGGGCTCCCAGCCCGCCCAGCCTCCCCCCCTGTGGAGACCCTGGTAAAGGAAGGAAAATTTCACCTGGCCCAGTTTGGGACTTATTTATAATTCTCCCCCCCTCCCCCGGATAAAATTTCTATGTGCCAGGAGTGTGGAAGATGCCTCGGTGTGTCTCTGCCTGAGTGCCTGTTCTGAGTGCCCGTTCGGCCTCGACTCCTCTCTATCTTTCATTCTTTTGAGGGCACTCAATTTATTTTTTCCTTTTTTTAAAAAAGCAAAAACTTGTGGGTCAGTTCTTGCGGTTAACTAAATTCAGAATGGAAATCTGGTGTTTTGTTTAATTTCGATTTGGCGATTGGAATTTGGGAGAAAGTAATTTTACATCCAGGCACTTTTGACCTCTCTCTCTCCTTTGTCTCTCTCTCTCTTTCTCTGTCTCTCTTCTCTCTCTGTCTCTTTATCTTTTTTCTTTCTCTTTCTCTCTCTTTTCTTTCTCTCTTTCTCTGCCCCCTCTCTTTCTCTTAATCTGTTTCTCTGTCTCTCTCTTCTCTTTCTCTCTGTCTCTTATCTTTTTTCTTTCTCTTTCTCTCTCTTTTCTTTCTCTCTTTCTCTGCCCCCCTCTCTTTCTCTTAATCTGTTTCTCTGTCTCTCTCTTCTCTCTCTGTCTCTTATCTTTTTTCTTTCTCTTTTGTTTATCTGCCCCTCTTTCTGTCTCTCTCTTTCGTGCTCTCTCTCTCTTTCTGCCTCTTTTTTTCTTTCTCTCTCTCTCTGTCTCCCTCTCTCTCATCTTAACCCCAAAACCTCGTTTGTGGTTACTACACAAGAGGGCTACAGGCCAGTAAACCTCCCTGGGAGCTGCCTTACAGGAAATCCTCGACTTGTAACCTTTCGTTTAGCGACCAAAGTGACATTGGCGCTGACTGACAGCCAGTCCTCACAGCTGTGACCATTGCAACATTCCCACAGTCACGTGATCGGATTTCAGGCGCTTGTCAACCGGTGTGTACTTACGACGGTCCCAGCATCCCGGGATCGCGTGGCCGCCATTTGCAATCTTCCCAGCTGGCTTCCGATGAGCAAAGTTGATAGGGAAAGCTGGTTTTGTTTAACGACTGTGTGATTCGCTTAAGAACCGCGGCAAAAAGGTCATAAAATCGAGCGACACTCTTAACAGCCTTGCTTAGCGAATAAAATTCTGATCCCAACTGTGGTTATAATTCGAGGATTGCCCCGTATCGTTCTCCCTAGTTTGTAACTTGCACAATTGGCACGTGCGCGTGCCAAAGACCGAACAGCACTTTAATCCCATATATATATGAGTCCATTTTGATACACAATAAAAATGTCTGAACTGATTTTAAAGCCCGTGTCAATTATTTACTGCTTTAAATCTGACTTTTTTCCCCCCCAGGAAGACAAAGGTGGTGTTGAGAACGTTATGTTTAAAAATATTGGTGGTTCCCGTTAGTTTTTGGATATCTAAACATACGTTTTCAATGGGATTTTTTTTTTTTTGAACATCTGAGCGTATTTTTCATGTCGGGTGTCGCTTATTCCCGGGGCACAAAAAGCTTTTATGATCCACCCAGAATTATTCTTTAGAAGAAGAAGAAAAAAACTTTTGAAAAGTTGAAAGTAAGGGAGAAAGCTGGAATTTAGCCAGATTTCACGTCTGAATAGTTTTTTTTTTAAGTGTTAAAAGGATAAATGAAAGGCAGAAGGAATTCTGTGGTTGGTTTTCTGCTTCGTTTTCTTAAAGCCAGTAAATCAGAATTGAACCGAATTAATCTAGAGATTTTTCGCTGGAGCGGGGGAAGGAGTGACTTCAGGAAATGTTTATTAAAAATTGAAGGCACAGATAAATTTGATAAAATATTTTATTTTTAAAAAAGAGGGGAAAGTAGAAGCGAAGGGGGTCTCTCTGCTTTCGTTTCTCTGCCTTAAGGGGATCAACCTAGCAAGATTTCAAGAGTTTAATGGTTTGCATGGCAAGGATGGGTTTTTGTCAGATGAGCTGCCCCTGAAGCTGGAGGCTCTGTGGAGCTCTCCTGATTTAAAATGGCCAACTTACGACCATTTCTTCGGCGAAAGTTTGAAATCTTACAAGTTTGAAAAAGCACAGCAGATTGATTTAGTGGAAACCCCAACCTATTTTGCAGAGCAAAGGCGTTCGTCTCCCCCTCTCCACACCTTCCCTGCCGCCAGGACTTCTGACAGCCAGTTATCAAGGCATGTGTCGGGCAGTTCCGCAGGCGCTCTGTGAATTTTCGGACGCCGCCCTCCTTCTGCATACCGTGTGCCCGTCACCTCTTTCCAGCAACAGCCTGTAATTGCATTTTGATGGCTCATTTGGGAGGTTTCAAAGGCAGACAGGTAACGAATTGCCTCCGGCAGAGAACCGCACCCCCCCTCTCCCTCCCTCCCTCTCTCTCTCTCTCTCTTTCTCTCTCTAGTCTTTTGTCTATCTATATCTATCTTCTGTCTTCATCTCTCGCTCTCTCTCTTCCTCTCTCTCTTCCTCCCTCTCTCTCTAGTCTATTTGTCTGTTTATATCTATCCTGTCTTCATCTCTATCTCTCTATCTCTCTCTTCCTATCTCTCACATCTATATCTATCCTCTCTCCATCTCTAGCTCTCTTCCGCTCTCCCTCTCTCTCTATTTCTCTCTCTAATCTATTTGTCTATCTATATCTATCTATCCTGTCTTCCTCTCTCTCTCTCTCTCTCTCTCTCTCTCTCTCTCTCTCTCTCTCTCTC